CCTCTCCTGTCGTGGGACGGGTTGAGAGGGAATCCGGTTTTTGGTGTTTCTTGGCTGCCGAAAACCTCAAAAATACGATTCCCGCCCCTCCGGTCGTGGGACGGGTTGAGCGGGAATCGTTTTTGGTGTTTTTAGCTGCCGAAAACCTCAAAAATACGATTCCCTCCTCTCCTGTCGTGGGACGGGTTGAGAGGGAATCCTGTTTTTGGTGTTGTTTGGCTGCCGAAAACGTCAAAACTACGATTCCCTCCTGTCGCGGGACGTGAGCATCGAGTTCCCTGCCACATGTGAGCGGGAATCGTGTTTGATGTGTTTTTTGCCTCCCGCCTGGCTAGGACATGTGTTGCAGCTGTTAAAGAATGAAGCGGAGAGAACAACGTCTCTCTACGACCATGTTAAAGACTTAGGCGGAGTAAACGCCGTCTCTCTACGACGGAAAAGAAAGCCTGGCCCCCGCATGAGCAGGCACCAGGAAAGAAAGCGATGGGTGGTGAAATGTAAGTGGATCAATTGTCAATGTTACAAGCAGAATGCCTACTCCCCCGGCATCAGGAGCCAACCTCTCGCCAGAACCGCAATAATAAACAAGCCCCAAACCCCAACCACGACAAGCCCCAACGAACCGAACTATCAAGACTAACCGCAAGTTGCAAAGGTCCGGCTGAGCAGGTATGCCGTTGCACTAATTCAGCCATCACTGCAACTGACGCTCCATCTCTCACCAGATGTTCTACTGCCCGAGCCGCCATTCCGTCCGTCATAAACCCCAACCAGCAGTACCAGAAGAGGCAGGTGTTGGCTGTGCCCCTATCCTTCTCAACATGCTTGTGTGTGCCAATGGTTGCACAAGCAACGAGACAGAGCTGATGTGGACCGCAATTCCACCTCCATAGCACCGATCCAGTTCCACTGCCGGACACTGCAAACTCGAGGGCCGTTATCGCCTTCATCCAGCTCGCAGGCTTCCCCCAGCCGCAGCGACTCGACGAAACGAGCCCATCGATTCTTGGAGATAAAGACATGGAGGTCTCGTTTAGATGTTGATGCCACTCGTCAGTCGTGCATTGCCCCTCGCGTCGTGGAAGAGGCCGTTGTAGCGTTGGCACAGCTGTGCAACCATGAGATTCATCAGGTATACATACCAGCATGCAGCGAAGGCCATCACAAAGCATTTCAGCAATGATTCATCTGCGACGGCGATCTCCTCGTGGTTATTGCCTCCAGAGGATTTGAAGGCGATTGCCAACATCGACTCGAAAGCCAAAGGCCAACCGAAGAAGTCTTGCAGCTGTATGGAGTTCTTGCCCAAGGAGTGGGGCAAGCAAGCCACAGCCGAAGCGAAAGCTGCTGTGAAAGAGATCAGAACCGCCACATACAGAGAGAGCTCCCACACGAGGCTGGCGCAGGTCACACTGAACACCGAGAGCTGCACGTTCAGGTGCACCGACTCGGAGGCCAGCACGCAGTAGAGGAGCATGGGGAAAGCGGCGACTGTGCTGTAGGGCCACTGGAGCAACGTGGCAGCAGGCATGTGGCTTCAAGCCACCTCCCGGGGACGTCCACCCCTCGAGACCACAGAGACAGCCTTCTGTGATCCCGAGGGGCCCCCCCCGAGCGCCCCCCCCGAAGGGTAGAGTGGCGAGATGACTTGAGCTCAATGGCTATCTTCTTCCACACAGCCAAAGGAAGAGCAGTCGCTCCCCCCCGCACGCAAGCGCACTGCAAGTGGCTATCTCTCTCTCTCTCTCTCTCTCGCTTCCTCCCTCCATTGGACCCTGAGCCTATGCAGACAAGCCTCTCCCTACCACCATCAGATCGGAAAACTGGCAGCTCTTCATTAGTGAAGATGTTGAAGCATTTCACTTCGCAGCCGACGCAACCCACCACTTTGGAAGAAGTGCTGCCTTCCGCCGTTCAGTTTCAGACCGTAACGTCAAGGATCGGCTTCGAATTGCAACTCAACGTGGGCCCCGCCTGATCCTCCGAAGTCAAACCAAGAGTTGGTCTCCTCCTTCGGAGCCTCTGTCCTGGTTCACCGGCATGATTTTGGTGCGGCTGCAACCAACTCCGTCGTTTCAATCGCACGGCACAGGGAAGCTTTTGACCCACAAGCTACAAGTATCCTGCCCATGGCAAGGAGCCGCCGAGGTGCTGTCGAAGTCTAGCGACCAGAAGCGTGCTCGGATACGGAGTAGCCTTGGACATGCCGCAAGGTCGCTGAGGTCACCACGCAATCACATCTGTCTGCTAGGAGACTCCATTTCTCAGCATACGGCCTTTGAAAGCACATGCTTAACCACGCTGGACTTCAGCCTTCTCATGGTTCCGTGCTACTCTGATTGCTCTGTGTCAATCTACCGAATTCTGTCTCTTTCGTCCCCTTCTGTCATTTGGGCAGAAAGTGTTATGCACCGAAACACTCAACCTTGCACGGCAAAACCGGAGAAGCGGAGAGCCCAACCTACTGCCACAGTGGATACGAGACGAGCACGCTAGAACAAAAGCACCACCTCACTACACCTTTTTGCAACCGCATCCGTCGTGGCCGCCAAAATGGGGCCCCGTTCCACTGCCCGACTGTGTAGTTTCAGCAGAAAACCTGAATCGCCGTTAAACCAAGCAGCCGTCAAATACAGCTTCCGATAAGCCTGCACCTCTCGGCCGGCGAGCAAAGCGTAGTCCTCGTCCTTAAACTTCGGCTGGTCAAGCCATCCTGCGCAGTGCCACACGGGCTCCCAGCCTATAGGAACCGGTGCTCCGACGAGGACCTTTCGTCCAGCGCAAGGAGCGCACTGCAACCTCGGCAGCTGGGCGGACATCCGCGTCTGTGGCCGGCTCGATCCTTGGGCGGAACAGACCACTTTCAGATTCTAGATCTTCTGCCTGACGCCTGCCGAGATGCTGGATCGTAGATGCGCGTGGAAGCCGATCCTGCGGCTCACCGCGCCCCAACAACTGCCTTTTGCGGCTCAAGCCCCTGCGAGGGCCTTCCGGCACCGGAGGCCTCGCCAGGCAAAGAGGCTGGCGGCCGAAGAAATGGCCCAGGCCTGCGAAGCGCTGCGAAAAGCTGTGAGTTCCGGCGTATTTTTCCACTCCCTCTCGGCTTTCTGAATGCCTGTCTCGGGCGGGAGCGCTGTGCTGAAGTCCGCGAGCGCTGCGCAAGCCCCAACGGCACTGGGTCGCACAAGGCTGGCCTCACCGAGAGCCCTCTCGGTATAAGCGCCATGAAGATCCACGGAAATCACGAAGCTTGCAAAAGACTTACAGCGGTCCTTTGGACAGATTGTAAAGCTGTCGAACTTCATCGTGCGATATCGTGCTATCGTCAAGTCTGGGCGACAAGACGTTCAAGCTTTGTGGCTCTTTAGTGGCTGCATGATGCTGCATGCATGGACGCTAAGCAGGAAGAACCATGCTGGAGAAAAGCTGCGCAGATTGCATGGCAATAGGCACACGGGGCTTTGGAGTCTTTGGAGTGTCACCATTCACAGCCAAGCCTTGCAGGCTTTGCTGAGTTCTGCCCACAGTCCTGCTGCAAAACCAAGTACACAAACGTAGAAGCACGCAACACACACTTGCGGACACGGGCGAACTCAGACAGAATCGGTGCGCCAGACCGAAAGAGGAGAGAAAGAAAGACAGAGAGAGAGCGAGAGGTGTGAGTTGTGTGTGCTTATATATATATATATATTTATTTATTTATTTATTAATTTATTTATGTATTTATCTATGTATTACATATGTATATATATATATACATACATACATTTTTATATACATACATATACATACATATACATACATACATACATACATACATACATACATATATGTGTGTGTGTATGTGTATATATATTTTTTTCCCGAAAGCATCGCGAAGGGTTCTTCCGTGCGGAGCCCTTCAGAGAAGTACATAGGA